CTGATCCCAATTATAAAAGTTGTAAACATAGCATTGCAATCTAACTAAATGAATAACTAACAACTAATATAATTAATTAACAACATTGACGTGCTTTATCCCACTTACACAACCTTGTTTTTTAGCGGATTTCTCACATGGTTAAAAATTGATTCAAGATCAGCACATTGTACTATAACTTTACAAGTGCCTCCGAAACGAAATACCAAAAATAAAAACATTTCGGGTAGCATACCACCGGACCTTCCTAATTTGGACTAAGAGTCCATCCCCCCCACTTTTTGGGATGGATTGACGCCCTTGGCATTTCGAGTCACTGCCGGCTTGGCTCTTCCCCCCCCCCCCAATAAAAAATCCTGGCTACGCCTCTGTTTATAGTTGCAGAGTTCGTTGTTGCTTCAGTCTGAAGAACAAGCCTTTTCAACAGTGATATAAGTTATTTAATTAATTAAAATAATGTTCCTTTTTATTGAAAACAAAGCATATGATTCCGTGATCATATTTGATTGGCTAACACGCAAGGACAAACGTGTGCGTTATACCAGCGCGTTTCTTTACGAAATACGGCGGTATGACTTCAAAATGAACAAGCAAAAAAATTAACACAGTGCGCTGTCGATAACGAACAATTGTTCTACGCGAGAGATCAGCTGTTATAGAAGTTTACAAATATCAATGAACTCAAAAATTATAAATCTTCATAACTTTCTTCTCGCTTCAAATTATCGTCGTTCCACATGTCGAGATGACAAGCAGCGCGCGTATGACGAGTTTATATGAAGTATTGTATTGGTCAACAGCCACTTCGCTCGTTGCCTGCCTGCCTTATTACCAGGGGTATCCGCAAATCGTCTGTGTAAATATCACTCAAAGATCATCGTTTCTTTTTCTAATAAAGCTAACAGCACGTTGTCCGGTCTTCTGTTTCCTTTTCGTGCCCCATGATAACCTTATATAGCCTGTCTTGTCGCCAGGCATGTGATTTATCTGAAAATGTGATTCTGCCAGCCACAGGCGTATAAACAGGCGTTAACTGATCTAGTCTAACTATGTTAGAATATAAGTTGAAACACGCTCCAAATATTAACATCTTGTAAACTCAAAGTTCCGACTATTTAAAACCAAGAGAAAAAAGATCAAGCCATTTCGACTTTATTTTAAGGTCATTATGATAGAGTCACTAGAATCCTTTACAAGATGTTAATATTCGGAGTGTTTCATCTTATATTCCGCGAAATGCTTGCTGCTGCTAAAGGATATTCTAGTCCACTGCTATTACTTTTTTAGAACACAATGACTGGTGGGCCAAAAACACATCAGCCACAAGACGAGGCGAGTTTTATATCAAAGATTTTTATTTGGTGGATTTTCCCGCTTCTATGGAAAGGCTTTCGAAATCCTCTGAATCACGAAGATCTATATCCGATCAGAGAAGTGGACAAATCCGGTCAGCGGACTAACCTGTTAGAAGAAAAATGGTGCGAAGAAATATTATCCGAGCGGAGTCTGGGCAGAGAACCTAAACTTTGGCGGGCAATATTGAAATACTACACTTTACAGGAATATCTCTTTTTTGTGCCCCTTGTTGTAGCTAGTCTCTTGGGCGATAATATAGTTTGTTTTGCAACCATCAATCTGTTGCGTCAGCTCACTAATTTCTATGACAACGAGTCACATGGTGAATATTTCGTCTACATCTACGGCATAGCGATTGGGTGTTTGATGAAGCTGATTGGTCAAAATTATATGTACTTTCACGGAAATGTTCTAGGAGTGCGAGCACGTGCAGCCATTTTGGGTTTGCTGTATAGAAAGGTATGGTCACATAACCTTGTCCTAGGCCTTCTCACGAATTGTTTGCGGCACGCAGCCGATGTGAAAATGCTGGATAGCGCAGGCATTTAAACACATGGGCGTACCGGGCGAGGGGGGGGGCGGAGGGGACGGCAGCCCCCCCCCCCCACCCCCCAGTTTGTTGGGCAAACAAAGCCAGTCGGGCAATATTCGCTTAACAGTCGGGCAATATAGGCTTATTATAAAAATAAATGGGACAAATTCTGTCAATTTTGTGGGAAATTCTGTCAAATTTGTGGGAAATATGCTATCTAATAGGAATTTTTCG